CTTGTTTAGATTAACCAGGAAATTGGGATGGCGACTCAAAATGCTACAAATCTCTTAAATGCGATTATTTTACTAACTCCGAACGCAAATATTGAAAAAGATCCCGAGATTCAGGTGCATAATGTTATTGGACATTTAATTTTTTAAAATCATCACATAGTATTACGAGTCACTTATATTTAATCTGTTTAGAAATTGGTTCGCAAATGCAAAGATTCTTCAGAACAATTAGGAAAAATTATACCTTTTGTCATGGATTCTGACAAATTGGGTACTTGCAATTATTTTTTCATTCATTTTTTTTTTTTTGTTTACTGTTTCATTCATTTTTTTTTTTTTGTTTACTGTTTCATTCATTTTCTTACCAATGTTAATTGTTATAATTCAAAGGTCCTTTATTACAAGCAAATGATCAAACGCTAGATGCTTTATCAAAATATTCGGAAGTGTGTGAATCTTTTTCACAAAATTCCAAATCGAAAAACATTTCATCTGAAATAAAGCCAAGAAAAATCTCATCCCAAGCACAAGAAGCAGCCAAGGTTTTTATATTATATAATTATTATTGATAGCATATTAAAAAATTAATTGTTTAAACATATTTTCACATATTCAAATATTAGATACACAAAGATCTTGATCTCATTGATTTTGATTCGTTTTCTGCATCAAGGTAAAGCACCTTAACATATATAAATTTATTCTTACATTACTGTTTCGAATCTTTATTAATGAAATTTTCTTTTAAAGTCACTCCGCTGATAACAATATAGTTTATGATAACAGCTTGCTTGATGATCCATTTGCTGATCCATTTGCTGATCCTATATTGGAACCAGAACTTGGTAACAAAACCAAGAAGAAATACGAATGGTGAGTCAGAAAAAAAACACTAGCAGTGCATTCATTATACAAATGTTTTTAAAATAATATTTACTATTAAATTTTAGGACTGAAGTTTAATTTAAAATCAAGGGTTAATAAATTTGTAACCGTGGTTATTGTAACCGTCATCATATTTTGTATTTATTTCAAAGGTTTACTATAACGAA